TAGTGCTCTAAAAAAGTCACATTTTTTTTTTGAGCTGTCAATGGAAAGCTGGGAGTCAAAGCTGGGAGGCACCCAGCCTCGGCCCCACCCAGCCCAAGGCCTGACAGCACAGGGGTGGCTGCTCAGAGGCTGGACAGAGGCCAGACATGGCAGTACAGGGGTTCACCTGATGTTGTACCCAAGAAAATCCAGAAATCAGAATGAGCCCAAACAATTGCCTGATGCCCAGTAAACTTAGAAAATTTGAAGAACTGAAACAAGAAACTGCAAATGTTGGCTCAAGGACCACCATGAAGAGACTCCCCTCTGGCTGTCACTGAGAAGGGGTGATTAAATAGAAACCGGATTGGAATCTGTGGGGACAGGGGCAGATGAAGAAATTTCAAGTGAGTTATATGAACTCATTCCTGCCCAACCCCTGGCATTATCTTTTGCAATTTACTGAAACACACTGGAAGCAAAGATCATCGATTGGGTGTTTCCATGGGCCTGCCCTCACCTGAAGTTCAAGATGTAAAAATCCAGGCCTGGAGGCTGAAATTCAGATTTCAGAGGAAAAAAGAATTCTGCATCAACTGCAAACCTCTCAATAGGAAAGGCGCCCCTACCCCAAGTACAGCGAGCTGCTGGGCCCCACATGGCCAATCACCTGGCTGACCACCTAGCAGGTCTCGCCACAGCCCTGCCCATTTAAGTATTACCCTCAGCAGCTCAGTCAAGGAAACTCTCCAGATTGGCGTCCAGTCTTGGTGTGACTCACTTCCTCTCGGAAAATGCCCTCTAAGATGGCACGGTTCTTTTCCTTCAGGGAGTGTTCTGTCCAAAGCATCCACAGAGAGTAACTGCAACTAGCAGGGCCACACCCACGGGTCTCACAGCTGAGTCACAGGCCTCCGATCACCAGGAGGATCCTGGAACCCTCTGTGCTAACTTCGCCCTGGAGAATGCTTCCAGCTTCCCCTGGAAGGGACCAGAGGGGTGGGGGCGCCTAGGGGGGTGGAATTAATGTGTTCCAGACCTGGCTCAGGGCCTGGCTTTGCGGGCCTGGCCCTAAGCTGCTCAGCTCTCCCCACCACCCCTACCCAGCATGACAGAGTTCCTGGTTTCAGTTAGGCAGAGACTGCCCCGAGGCCGGGCAGTGCGGGATCCAGGGTTGGAGAGAGCGCCATTCCTTGGGCAAAGCTCGACTGTGAGCCGGGTACCAATGGCACCTCTGTCCGTCTCACTGCAAGGGGCCAGCCCAGCGTGATCTGGGATTGCAAGATCCTTCCTCACGCCCGCTTTCCCCCATTTCTGGTTCCACGCACTTCAGATAGTAAGCAGGGACTTTTGGAATACAGGAACCGCTCCACACATTCTCTCCGCCATCGCCCCCCACCCCCGCACGGCTTCATAAAGGACACACATGGATGCTTGCCTCGGCGGCAAGACCTCCCTGTGCAGCCGACCAAAACAGGAAGCCCAACCTGCAGCGCGCGCGCACGCCAAGAACAGGGGAGCACCCTTTAGGAGGGGAGCCCTGCAGTAGCCCTGCCGCCCAGCCCGGCCCGCGCGGGGAGTCCGACTGGGAGGAGGGTACGGACACCTGGACTGCGGTCCGTCTGCAGCCAAAACCTACAACACGATGGGCAGCCAGCCGGGGCGGGACGGGGGTGCGCATAACTTGGGGACTAATCGCAAAGTAGGAAAGGTGTGAGTCCAGAACCCCGAACGCAAACGAGGGAGATCGGAGTTCCCAAAGCGCCAACACCGAGACGCTATAGTGACAACTCCCCCTTCTCCGGTCCGCGAGGGGCTGGGGGCAGCCGCGCTAGGGCTGGGGAGGCCGCTGCTCCCCTGGCTTGGGTGTGGCCTGCCGCGCGGTGCAACAGATTCCCCGCCAGTGGCTCCCCACCCCGGCCCGGCGGTGACCCGGGCGCCCAGAGACGCCGGCACAGCTGGTCAAAGCAGCCGGGGTGAGGCTTCCCCAGGGGTCACATCCTCGGCCGGGGACGCGCGCCCCAACTCACCTAGCAAGGGAGGCGCGGCACAGACGCAGGGCTAGCTGGAACCGGCGGCCAGCGGAGCGCAGCGGACCTGCGCCTTTGTACGTGGGGAGAGGCAGGAGGCGTGGGGCAGCCGAGCGGGAGGAGCCTGGCTGGCGGTCCGGCGCGCTCCCCACCCCTTCTCTTCCTGCCCACCCCGCACCAGCGCTGCACACGCCCTTCCCACGCTTGCAAACCCCCACCCCGCCCGAGGGGACGTGCCTGCAGACCTCTCTTCGGGCAGGAATGCACCTACTGCATTTCAGGACATTCCCCCTCTAGGCCGTGCCTTTCCTCTTAGGTTTGGTTTTATAAAGTGGGTGAGTGTGGAAATCAAAGAACCCAGCCGCCCTGCGGGTGGGGCACGCTGGCCCAGAACCAGAGGACAGCGGCTCTCCAGTAACCGACAGGTCGAGGAATTATTTTCTAGATGACACGACAGGGAGGAACACGTGGAGTTCTAAAGACTTTGAAGGCACTGGGGACTTGGCCATTCGCAGATCTGGCCCTCGGAGGGGCTGTTGGGAGGGGGGCGCCCTCCGCTGTCCGCGCCTAAGGTGGGCGGGCATCTGGCAAAGAAGCGGGTCCTGGCCTACCTTCTGCCCTACCTTCCCGCAGGGTGGGGAGGGAGGGTGCTGTTTGGCTTGTCAGCTCGAGGGGCGTTGCAAATTCTTTGTTGAACAAGGGATTTACTACTCCTGGTGTGTGTGGTTTTGCTGGTTCAACAGTTCGGTTTCAGGTATGGTTGAAATGGTTAAAACTAAGTTTCCAAGTCTGTCTCTTTTTGCTCAGTAATGGGTCTGCTTGGCTCTAAAAGCACTTTAGAAGGATTTTCTGGAAGAAAGTTAGGGAAAACCTTAGTGTTTCCTAGCGGACGATTCCCCCCCCCCCCATATTTATTTAATTGTGGGTTAAATGCACACTACTAGCAGCTGTTGGTGGAAAAGAGCCCAATCCCAAATTCCGGGGTTTTCCTTTGTTCCCAGGGGACGTCTTCGGAGGGGTGAGTGATCCCAAAGGAATGAGCAGACTAGGGGAATCTCCAAGTGTCACCACGTGACTAGTCTTGGCTGTGGCCAGGAAAATCCGACTTGGATTTTGGCTCTCACTTCCTGGGTCTCTGCAATAGTGCTTACTGTTCAAGGAGGCAGTTCTTCAAGAGCTTCTCATTTACTTCCTAGGCCCCAGATTACAGTCACCAGTGCAGGAAATCCTGGGTCCCTTTAGTCCCTGGGGAGATGCAACTGGATTTAGAAAGAGAATGCCTGGGTTTGTATACTCCTATTCATTTGATTTCTTCATTTGGTTCACAAATCTTTAGGAATGCTTAAAATGTGCCTGGCCCTGAGAATTCTGAGGTGAAACAATCAGATTCATCCCTCGAAGAACTCCAGGGCTTATTGAAAGAGAGACAGCAAAAATTAAAACCCAGTGAGACTACTGAGTGATTCAGGATACTAAGAAGATGTTGAGGAGGGGCTTCCAAATCTCCTTGAAGTGGTCACAATAATTCCTGGAGGAGAAAAATTTTAAAATAACAATAAAACTTATTGTGACTTTTTCTTTGAGACTCAGACTGGATTCTCAACCTGTGGACTCAAGTGACCTTCCTACATCAGCCTCCCCATAACTGAGACTACCACGGAGTTATAGCCCCCAGCCTTTTTGAATTTTTATTTTGAGATAGGGTTTCACTAAATTGCCAAGGCTGACCTTCAAGCTTGTGACCCTCCTGCATCACTGGAATTATAGGCATGTGCTGCTGCACCCAGTTTTATTGTGACTTTTTTTTAAATATTTTTTTTAGTGTTGATGAACCTTTATGTTATTCATGTATTCATATGTGGTGCTGAGAATTGAACCCAGTGCCTCACACGTGTGAGGCAAGCACTCTACCACTGAGCCACAACCCCAGCCCTATTGTGACTTTTTAATCTGTAAAAGGATTGTATTCTTATTGTAGAAGCCTTGGAACATATAGCAGTTCAAAAAAGAAAAGGTTATTTATAAATGCATGAATCAAAGATAAATATTTTTGTATATTTCTTTCTCGTCTTTTGTATATTTTTGTATATTTTTTCTGGGGAGATGCAACTGGATTTAGAAAGCGAATGCCTGGCTTTGTGCACTCCTATTCGTTTGATTTCTTCATTTGGTTCATATATATGTACCAAATGATTTTTTGAAGCATATATATGTACATGATTGCGATCACACTGATTATAAATTATGTAGTATTCTATTCTTATTCCATAACACTGTATCTTTACCATTTTCTGACATTAATTATTTACCAAGAGCATTCTTTTTTCTTTTTCATTCAACAAATAACTATTTTCTTTCTCTGATCTGTAATCAGGATACTCAGGACTCTGGAGCCCTACTGGGTTTCTGAAACACTGTGCTAAGCACCAAGGGCAGAGTGGTGAGCTTATGTGGCCAGCAGGATGGATGCTATGCCTACTCTCCTGTGTGTTTTTTTTTTTTCCCCCCTTGGCAGTGCTGGGCAAGCACTCTGCTACTTAGCTATACCTCCAGCCTTCCTGTGGCTTCTTAATGATTCTATGTACAGATAGGTCCTAAAAGTTCCAAATACCTTCCATTCCTTTAATCTCCCTCTAGGAAAAGTGGTCTCGGGCCTTTCTTTCTCCAGGAAGTAATTACACCCTATCAACCACAGACAGACGGTGAGACAGCTCTGCTTCCCTGAAGACCACTGATCAGAGCAGGGACCAGCACCTGAGCTGGAGCTGCCCAGCAAGAACAGTGTCATAGCAGGTGGGGAAGGGAACATGTGCAGAGTGCAGAGAGGAGCAGGCTACATGGCGCTGGAGGAATGGGAACCGAGGGCCCATCTAGCCTGGTTCCTGGAATGAAGTGGAAGCCATGTCCAAGTGCCCCCCAGGCCTGAGATACTTTCCAATCTGCAAAATGCTGGGAGCAGGAGAAATTGTTCCACTGGCACAATACCCAGAATTGGGAATTTTCCTACTTTTTAATGAGACACAGCAACAAAATCCCAGTGGCTCTCGACTGTATTGGGTTTGTAGGTTGCAGCACAGAGGGTGGGTGGGTCACCAGGCACGTGTGTTCCTCCTTCCACGGGATAGAGTTGTTGTTGGGAAGTGGCTGCTCAGCCAGGGGTTATGTTCCGAGCACCTGCTGCACCCATCTGGAGCCATGTAACCACTGACAGAAGGGGACTGGAAGTGACCTCGGTCACTTGCAGGCCCAGGCAGCAAGAGCTGATCTTTTCATATTCTTTCTCTTCTTTCATATTCTTTCTGAGGCTCCAGGGATGGAAGAGCCACAGTTAGAAGGAGACTGGGTTCTAGAATCACTGTATGGAGGAAAGCCAAGTTGCTGAGCAGGAACACCCTCACTGGATGAGTTACATGGGTGAGACAGAACCCCGGAATTTGGGGGCGCATTTGCTATGACATAACCCCAACAGAATGGCATTGAATACTAGTATATTTGGCAGCATATTTGGAAGGATTAATTTGCATATATAATAATAATTGCACTGTGGTACCGATCACATTAGCATAGTGTCACTGCCCTGACCACTCTCTCCTAGACTCTCCTGGGACAATGTGCTTCTAGGGCCTGGCTAATGCCTAGTTTCTTCCTAGGTACCAGGTTGCACCTTGCATCACACAGAAACCTCACTCAACATCTAGTCTGCCCAGGCACTGTGTGAGCATGAATCATATTATAGAAACTTTATCCGTCCATTGTGGTGTTTCAGTGAAGAGTCACGGCAGTCCTTCACTCCCTTCATCGAGAATCACTGATTTACAGTGATCTGGTCAAGACTGATTGCTGGCAAGCCTAAAAAGAAAGGAAAACAAGCTATCAGAAACCAAAACAAGGGCTGGGGTTGTGGCTCAGCCATAGAGCACTCACTTATCACGTGCAAGGCCCTGGGTTCGATCCTCAGCACCACATAAAAATCAATCAATCAAATAAAGGTATTGTGTCCAACTACAACTAAAAAATAAATATTAAAAAAGAAAAAGAAACAAAACAAAACACTCACACAAGTGTGACTATATGAGTATACTCTAGTATAGTAGTATAAAATAGGGAAATATTTTAATTGGTTAAACATTTTTCCATATTTTTTTAACATTTAGGTTGTTTCTAATTTTTTTTTTTTTTTGTACTGGAGATTGAACCCAGAGGCACTTAACCCACTGAGCCATACCCCCAGGCCTTTCTTGTATTTTATTTAGAGACAGGGTCTCTCTAAGTTGCTGAGGCTGGCTTTGAACTTGTGATCCTCCTGCCTCAGCCTCCCAAGCTGCTGGGATTACAGATACTCACCACTGCGCCCTGCAGTTGTTTCTATTTTTTTTTAAACTATTATAAATAATCGTATATGAAAAGACTACCTGGAATAAAAATCTTTGTCCACTTGTCTGGTTGTTCAGATATGTTCTTACTATTGGACTTTTTTAAATTGGTTTATTTGTTTATGGGGATCTTAAAGGACTGGTAGAAAAGAATCACATTCTGTGGGGGCGGACGGGAGAGAAAAGCATGAGTTCTAGCATGGAATCGTGAATTAGTGCATCTACTCCAGGAATCGCCCCCAGTTCTGCGTGGAGAGTGCGAACCCCTTAGAACCTTGGCTGGCATGAGTCCTCATGGGGAGTGCGGTCCCTGGCGCCCGCTGAGGAGGTTGGACCTTGTTTCGACTTATTTTTTGCAGTTCTGGAGATCAATCCCAGGGCCTTGCCCACGCTGGGCAAGCACTGAACCCCTGAGCCACATCCCCAGCCCTGCAGCCTGTTTCCAGGCTAATGAGGAATCACTGAAAAATGCTAAACAGGGCGTGAGTGGCTCTCCCACTCACCTGGGCTCCGGGCAAACCCCTTCCCCCTGTGAACTGGAGTCTCCTTAGGGGTAACATGGGGCAGACTCACCTTCTGGAGTGATGGCAAAGACTGAGCCATCTGATGAACAGGAGAGCACCCAGCTGGGCCCCAGCAGGCAGCAGGCTGTGGACAGCCAGAAGACTTCCGCTTCCTCTGTGTGACTCCCCCTCTGCAGAGCACAGCTGTGGGGGAAGCAGGGCTGGGCTTGGTGTGATTTGTGGGTAAACGCCTTTGAAGGACTTCCCTCTGGAGGATCAGTTGTGGCTGCCCTGGCAGTCCCCTGCTCTCTAGCAGCAGTGGAAGTTGAAAGATTGTAGCTTCCCCCCCCCCCACCCCAAAGCACAGAAGATCTCTTAACTTGGGGTTGGAAACCATCGAACCTGAAAGTTCTACTGATCATAATCCTTCAAATGTCTACTGAGCACCTGCTCGCTCCCAGCATGTTGGGTATTCTGGATTTGTCCATGACCGGAACACGTGAGCTTCTGTCCTCTGAGTCCTGCGTGTATTGGGAGAGACACAAAATGCAAATAATAACTGAAAATTCAAGTTCTGTTGAGTTGTGATGGGAAAGACAAGGATGTGAGTGAGAGAAGAATGGAAGGGACCCCTTTTAGGCGGAAAGTCAGGGGAGCTGCCCTGAGCCAGGAGATTAAAACTCAGAGGAAGAAGGAGCTAGGCTGCCCAGAAGGGAGGACGGGGACCGAGTTTAGGGTGCAGGGAAAGGGACTTGCAAAGGCTCAGAGATGGGCTGGCTCTGGGTCAGAGAGCAGAACTGAAAAACCGCAGCGTATCTGAGGCACACTGAGCAAGGCGGGTGGTGACATGAGATGACACTGGAAGACAGCATTTGCAGGAATCTGCTCAAGACTTCTGGCAACAGAAAAACAAAACTGAATAACACGCGGCTAAAGGGCAGCTCTGGACTTTCAGACAGGCTTGGGAGTGGATCCTATTTTCTCTGCTATGTGATCCTGGGTGTCACTTAACCTTTGCAAACCTCAGTTTTCTTCTCTGGAAAATGGACTTGATAGTAGCACCTGTTGCATAGAGATGTTATGATTATAAATGAGAAAATGCACGTAAGTACTTAACCGAGTGCCTGGTGCGTAGGAAGTACTCCACTCATGCTAACTATAGTTATTATTAACAAGTGGGGGGTGGGGGAGCCAGACAGACCTGGGCTGAATCCTGGTTCTTCTGCATGATTGCTTTGTGCCATGGTCACAAGTCGCTGCTGTTCCCCCCCCCCCCCCCCGCGCCCCTTCTGGTACTGGGGATTGAACCCAGGGCTGCTCTACCACTACACTAAGCTGTACCCCCAGCCCTTTTTATTTATCTTATTATTATTTTTTGTTAAGAAAGATTTATGTATCTATCAACTTGCTTTTTTATAGTATTTTAAAAAATTTATTCTAATTTGTTATATGTGACAGCAGAATGCATTTCAATTCACATTACACATACACAGCACAATTTTTCATATCTCTGGTTGTACACAATGTAGAGTCACACCATTAGTGTCTTCATACATGTACTTAGGGTAATGATGCCCATCTCATTCCACTGCCTTTCCTACCCCCGTGCCCCCTTCCTTCCCCTCCCTCCCCTTTGCCCTATCTAGAGTTCTTCTAGATGTTGGGAGAGACATAAAATGCAAATAATAATAAGAGACAACTAAAAATTTAAGTTCTGTTGAATTGTGATGTATAAAACAAAGGTCTGAGTTATGCTCCCCCCCCATCCTCATTATGAATCAACCTCCTATATCAGAGAAAACATTCAGCATTTGGTTTTTTGGGATTGGCTTACTTCACTTAGCATGATATTCTCCAACTCCATCCATTTACCTGCAAATGCCGTGATTTTATTCTCTTTTAATGCTGAGTAATATTTCATTGTACATATACACTACAGTTTTTTTTTTTAATCCATTCGTCTACTGAAGGGCATCTAGGTTGGTTTCACAGTTTAGCTATTGTGAATGTGCTGCTATAAACATTGATGTAGCTGTGTCCCTGTAGTATGCTGTTTCTAAGTCATTTGGGTATAGACTGAGGAGAGGGATAGCTGGGTCAAATGGTGTTTCCATTCCCAATTTTCCAAAGAATCTCCATACTACTTTCCATATTGGCCCTTTTTATTTTTTGAGACTAGGTTTTACTAAGTTGCTGAGGCTGGCCTTGAACTTATGATCCTCCTGCCTCAGCCTGAGTGCGCTGGGATTACAGGTATGTATGCCATCTTGCCTGGCTATGGGCTTCAAGTTTCTATCCTGGGATAGGTTATAATTTAATTATATGGGGTGATCTATATGCAGTTATAAAAGAAGAGCCCAACTGTAACTTTTATTATTTATTTATTTTCATGGTGCCAGGGATTGAACCCAGGGCCTTGGGCATATGAGGCACTCTACCAACTGAGCTGTATCCTCAGTCCCCACTTTTAGGTATTTAAAAATAATCTTTTGAGGTCTTTTTGTTGTTCAAAAAATGTTTTTCTGAATATGCTAGCCTATTAATAAAATAAATAGTGAAAAGCAGTTATGTTTTGGGTCTGTTTATGTCATGGTATCATGGGTTGGAGTGGATGACAGAGAAAAGATGGAATTTAACTCCCTTTCCCATTGAGCATTTTCTAGTGGAACACTTGCTTTTCTGAACCCTAGTAGAGGGGAGAACTGCAAGAAGTGATGAGGGATTGCCAACTGCCAGTCTGTACCGGCATCTGCCTTCTCTCCATTAGAACTTCAGGGTTTGCAAATAGTGCCCTAGGCAGAAATATTGGGGCTGTACAAAGGGAAACAGTTACTTAAGTCACAGACGCTCTTTGTTCATTGGTGATATTGGAATGTGCCTGGGGAGGGCTCAGAAACACAGAAATTTGACTCTGTGGGGCCCCAGTGACTCAACCCGCTGTGAACTGTCACCTCAGCAAAGTTCGCTAGCAGCTAGCCTGGGGGCCTGGGCAGTCAGAAGCTGAGTGCCCTGGGAAACATTGAAGATCAGATACTTGTACTGAGAAAGGGTGTGTCCTTGCTTTCTGGTTAATGCTGTGGGACCCTCTGGTGGCCACAGAGAGGCTCTGCAGTGGAGTTGCTTTCTCCTGAGTGGCCCAGCAGAAAAGGGGCCGGGAGCTGTGTGTCTGGAATCCAGACGATAGAATGCAGGCTGCGAAGATTCCCCCGTGGGCTAGAGACGGAGCTGGGATGTGGGTGGCCCTGCCCCGTTTACTCACGTCTTGGCAAGCATTTCTCAGGATAAGTAAGGAAAGTCGTGCTCAGTGTGCAAGATGCTAAAAACAAACGGCAATAGAAAAGAAAGGGGGAAATGGAGAGGTGAGGTCGAACAGTTTGGTGCTAGGTGGATCAGAACCTCACTTTGGGCATAGAATCCCAATTTTCATTTTATTTTATTTTTGAACCCAGGGCTACTCCAATGCCATGCTATATCCTCAACCCCTTGTATTTTTATTTTTTGAGACAGGATCTTGCTAAATTGCCAAGGCCAGTCTTGAACTTGTGATCCTCCTGCTTTAGCTTCCTGAGTAGCTGGGATTTTATATAATAATAAAATATCATAGTAATATTTTATTGTGCCACCATACCTGACTGTCAGTCAGCTTTTAAATGAATTTAAGTAGATTCATTTAGGCAGTTTTGAGCATTATTATTATTATTTTAAATATTTAATTGATTTTATTTTTAAAATACACGACAGCGGAATGCATTACAATTCTTATTACACATATACAGCACAATTTTTCATATCTATGTTTGTATATAAAGTATGTTCACACCAATTCATGTCTTCATACATATGCTTGGATAATGATGACCATTATATTCCACCATCATTGCTAACCCCTTGCCCCCCCCTTCCCTTCCCACCCCTCTGCCCTATCTAGAGTTAGTCTATTCCTCCCATGGTCCCCTCCTCCCTACCCCATTATGGGTCAGTCACCTTATATCAGAGAAAACATTTGGCATTTGTTTTTTGGGATTGGGTAACTTCACTTAGCATTATTTTCTCCAAAGACATCCATTTACCTGCAAACACCATGATTTTATTCTCTTTTATTGCTGAATAATATTCCATTGTGTATATATGCCACAGTTTTTTAATCTATTAATCTACTGAGGGGCATCTAGGTTGGTTCCACAGTTTAGCTATTGTGAATTGTGCTGTTATAAACATTAATGTGGCTGTGTCCCTGTAGCGTGCTGTTTTTAAGTCCTTTGGGTATAGACCAGGGAGTGGGATAGCTGGGTCAAATGGTGGTTCCATTCCCAGTTCCAAGGAATCTCCATAGTGCTTTCCAGTTTTGAGCATTATTATGATTTTCCTTATCCCTGCACCTGTCCCACATATTCTGAAAGCCAAAGTGCCAGGCTATTGGAGGATGTGCTTGCTGGTAATCAGTGGGACATTTTTGAAGTCTATATTGGTCATATCACATTAGGACAAAAATGTTCTTCATGACTAGCCTACTAACAATTTACTTAATAATTTTATAGTTCACAAAATTCTGTTTTTTATAATCATCTCAAGATGTTGTTTAGGGTCAGGGGTGTAGTTTAGTGGTACAGCACATGTTTAGCATATCTAAGGCCCTGGGTTCAATCCCTAGCACCCCCCCAAAATATTTTATATTGATTAGTGTTATGGTATAGTAATATTTTATTGTGGTTTATTATATTGCAATATAAATTTTCTTTTTCTTTTTTTTTTTGTTTAAATTTTTTAATACTTATTTATTAGTTTTCGGCGGACACAACATCTTTGTTTGTATGTGGTGCTGAGGATCGAACCCAGGCCGCACGCACGCCAGGCGAGCGCAATACAGCTTGAGCCACATCCCAGCCCCAATATAAATTTTCATATATTATATATAGCATATATCATATAATACAATATTATTATAATGTGTTATACTGTTTATTCTCTAAGTCTGGCCAAAGTCCTGTAAGACGGATGCTAATTCTGGTTTTGGATGGGGAATGAAGTCAGTGGGGTTCAGTCACTTCCTAAGGGTGAACATACATACGACCCTACTGAACCCAGATAAGCCGTCTCCCCTCTGGCCACCACCCCCATCTTTCCTTGGGCGGAGCAACAACGGTGGAAGCTGCTTCGGAACATAGCCACCACCTGGGCAGGAACGCGAGGAATGCTCACAAGTCACTCTGATGGGTGGCAGTGTGGGT